CCCAAGGACACAGGTGTTGGTCTCACTGCATAGAGGTTGCAGTGACAGGATACACAGGGTTAATAGACTTTTGCTGTTTCTCAGTGCATAACCTCATGTAATCTGCAACCAGATTACCATGTAGATTCTTGTTTAAAACAATGGGGTTGAACAGACAGCTGCCTAAATTCCCAGACGTGCAGCTATCCTTGTACTCCTCCTGCCAGAGCAGAAATAGGGCTTGTTGTAGTCCAGGGCCTGGGGTCTAGAGTAATGTAACCACAAACAGTAGGCATTGCGGATTGTTGTATGTTGCCAAGTGAACTTAACTGCTTTTGAGTAGACTGTTAAAACTAGAGGGCAAAGGAAATGGAGGTTGCAAAGATGCAATTTCTGACTAGTCTGAGTCTTTCTGTGCCTGCCCACTCTTCATTACCTCAACAGCCTTAATGCCCAAACAGTATGCCTTACTTTCTCAGCTGTGCAACATATATATGAACAGCCCTACAGGTGCAGCTGCGCAACAAACGCTGGTTTGACAGTGTCATTCCATAACTCCTGCCTCTGCCTGTGTAATCCTGCATTTACTTTCTTTTTCCAAATGGAATTAATCTTGATGCATCTTTGCAATTATCCTTCTTTTCAGGATATTGCTATCCTTTACACTAAAGCCCCATGTCCTGCTATATGTGCATCCCATCAGCATTAGTAGGCCTTGTCTTTCCTGAAAACGTGTTATTTTATATGCTTCCAGGAGAATGTTATTTTTGGTGGCTTCACTGCACATATGACTTCATATGCACGTTATCATGCTGGTTTCTCTTAACATCACTATCCAGTCAGACTTTCTAAGCACAAAATTAATTAAGGCCTTTAGCTGATGATGGCCCAGACCTTGACCTCATGATCAGATCCAGTTGGGTAGGGGGAAAATGACCATGTATGGAATTTTGTTGCAGTAAGAAGTGTGTTCCAGGGGTCTCCTTACTGCTTGCTTTATTTCTCTTAAGTATCTGACTTGGAGTCAAGGATTTGGGGGGACATGGCTCCATTGATCTGGTTTGACATGGCAGTGGTCATAGTCCCTGAAATAATGATTTAACTCTACTGCTTCACTGGGAGGGACATGTTATCTTCTGTTAGATGGTTATTCAAAAGTGCTGAGATTCTCTCTAGGAATAGCCAAACAGTTTAAGGGAGATTACAAAGCTGGATGCACTATGCGACTTCAGGAAGCTAATCCTTCCAGTTATTAAGGCCTGGCTTTTCTGATGCTCTGTTCTCTGCCACCTTTCATATTAGGCAGCAGTACAACCCAGCAACACAGTCTCTTTTGCAAGAGAACAGAAAGGACCTCT